CAACTACCGTCTTCTCGACTTCACCCTCGTAGTATTTTAAACATTGATGGTAGGTAGATGGAACTACTTTATTCTCATGTATCCAAGGCCTCCCAAGCAAAACATTGTATGAAGTCTTCGCGTCGATCACATGCAGCCATGCACTTCATTGCATATCTTCAATAGTGATTCCCAGCCTGATCGCGCCTATGGCTCTTTGCCCCCCTTGGTTGAATCCTTGGATCATCACACGACTTTCTGAGAGTTCGTTCATGGGAATACCAAGTTCTTTCACAGTGTGGATTGGCAAAATGTTCACTGAGGATCCTCCATCAACCAAAATCCAATTTACCCTTTCATCGCGCATATAGCCAACCGGGTACAATGAGCGGTTATGAGGAGTGTCACCTAGCAAAAGATCGTATTTGTGAACGTGACCTTTTCCTCACAAGCATTAACTTCTTGAGGAGTGGACTCGATGGGCTTTTCCAAAGATGGTGCCAACGGTAGGTCATCACTCTTTTCTTCCCCTTTGTCAGCATGGCAACAAGAGGCATCAATTCCCTCATGGGAAATCTTCGTGCGGAACCAACTTGGTAAAAACTCCTCCAAGGTCACTAGATTTCGTGGCTTTTGAGGGCGGTGCATCTCCACTTTTGCTTTCTTCAAATGCCTAACTGGATTCCTTTTTATGGGTCTTTTTACCATCATCTTCCTTGTTGGTTGTTCTACTGATTCTTTTCGTGGGCTCCTTTTGTGGCGCCTACGACGAGTCACCAACGTCCAACCTTCATCATCATCAGTTTTATCGTCTTCGACTTTGTTGTTCTCCAGCAATTCTTCATTTTTGATTCCTTTTAAACTGCATAACTCATCTAGATTGAATGAGCCAAAGGTGATAGAGACTTGGTTTGCGCTTTCTTTCTCATCTTCAAGCACAATCTTCTTTTCGCGAGCCAAGTCCATGACTTCATCCTTGAAGACAAAGCACTTCTCCAGAGGGTGGCTTACTAGTCGGTGATATTTGCAGTAATTTGGGTCATTTGTTTTCCCAGCTTTATTTGGTCGCTTCATCTCCGGAAGCTCGATGAGATTTAACTCGAGGAGTTCTTCGAAAATGGCTGGCACATCAGAATCCAGGAATGGGTACTCTTTCTCCTGCATCTCTTTTAGAGTCAACTTTCCACTTAGCTTGTCTTGAAAAGAAGTGGATTTCATACTCTGCTTCTTGCTCACCTTCGTCGTGAACTTCATAGGTGACGTATTGACATTCATAGCTTCTTTGCTTTCAGACTTGGGTACGAACTTTCCCCACTTCCTGACTCTTGCTTGTCATTCGCTTTGCGAGGTTCATAGATGGGTAGCCTTTCATTTCCAGCGGAGGCCATGCTCAATTCCATGTCATGGGCACGAGTTGCAAGTTCTTCAAATGTGCTAGGCTTGATACCTTGCAAGATGTAGCGCAATCCCCAATGCATGCCTTGGATGCACATCTCTATGCCTGAAGCTTCACTAAGCCTGCCTTTGCAGTTGAGGCTTGCATTCCTCCAACGATTGATAAAGTCGATAACTGGTTCCCCCTTTCGTTGACGAGTATTTGTAAGCTCTACCATACTCACTGTGCGTCTTGTGCTATAAAAGCGATTGAGGAATTCTTGCTCTAGTTGATCCCAGCTGTCGATAGATCCAGCCTCGAGGTCCGTGTACCAGTCAAAAGCATTTCCTTTTAGCGAGCGGACAAATTGCTTGATGAGGTAATCTCCATAAGTCCCAGCATTGTTGCACGTCTCCACGAAGTGAGCCACATGTTGCTTTGGGTTACCTTTACCATCAAACTGTTGAAACTTTGGAGGTTGATAGCCAGAAGGCATCTTCAACATATCGACCCTTGAAGTGTACGGCTTTGCATACGTAAGGGAGGATTTGGCAGCAACTTTATATTTGTTCTTAATGGTTCCTTCAATGAACTCCTTCAGTTGATCGATTGGAATCATTCCTTCAGATGAAACAGGGATAGCCTTAGTGGATGCTGCTTGTCTTGGAGGAGAGTCACTCTCTAGAACTTCTGGGAGCTTGCCGGGTGCGTGGGTGGATTCTTCTTCCATCAAGATTCCCACCCTGTCTGTTAGCTTATCAATTCTAGCCTCTTGATTTTGCATGCATTTGGTCAAGCCAGCGATTGCTTCCGTCAAGTTTGCCAACTGCTCCTCTACGGATGAAGTATTTGTCACCATAGCTTGCATGATTGTCGTGGACGACGGAGAGTAGCATGGATTTTCACACAGATTGATCCTTGATCGGCTCACGCTATGTGGTGTAAGTGGGGAGGATCCATCACTTGAAGCATCATCATCTTCCTTCATAGCAGAGTGCTTGGATCCGGAGAGGTCAAGCAGAGCAAGAGTTTTCTTGATCTTTTCAGCAACATCGTTTCCTCCTTCAGATGCGTTTGTGGAAGATCTTGCTCCTTTTGAGGATGAAGATCCGAAAACAGGGGTTGACGCGGACGACACTTGGGGTGCTTGTTGTCCTAAAGAGCTTGCTTTGCTCCTCGTAACTGGTCCGAAGCTTCCAAAGGTAACATCGAGGATGCTTTCCACATCAGCATAGAACCTGGAGTTAGCAGCTTTGGTGGAAGTTGAAACGGAGTTGATTTTCTTTGAAACCATTTCAATGTTCTTGAACTTTGGTGATTGAAAAGTTGAGATGAGAGGTAGAGATTGTCCCACTGGGCGTGCCAGAATTTGTAGACAATAAATTTACATCGAGAAAATAAAATCAAGACTGAAAAATATTGCAACAATCGTAGTATTTTATTTCGAATATTTGAGTGTTATAATCTCTATGAATCCTCTGATTCTTCTTTCCAATAGTAAATAAATTCAATGGGCTTTGAGCTTGATCTTGAATCTATGTTTGTTGCCACGAACGATGATCTTGAATTCAACTGGCACGAACTTTGATTTGAACTCGTTGAGCTTGAACTTGATTTGTTCTTCGTTCTTGAGCTTGAACTTGATTTGTTCTTCGTTCTTGAGCTTGAACTTGATTTGTTGAACTTGAACTTGATTGCTTGAAGCTTGAAACTTGTAGAGAAATTTGCGGTGTTTGATCCACGAGCTCTCTCTTTCTTCTTGTTATAACTTCTGGTGTCCTTTCTGAGTTATGAAGACCCCTATTTATAGTTGTGGAAGAGAGGAGTTGTGATAAGAACAAACTCTTTCCGACCAATCAAATTGAAGTGTGACATGCTCGCATTTGATTGGCCAGAACATGTCAATTGCACACGTGGCGCGATTTCATTGGCCTTTAGTGTGACTGGGCATGCCTTGTCATTTTGACACGTGGCATGGTCCTATTGGCTCTTCCGCTTGACTTGGCGCGCCACGTCATTTGACACGTGGCACCAAACTGGGCCTCTAGGAAGATGACATCTTGGGCTTAATGAAGTGGGCTCATCACTTTAGCCCAATTAAATGGGCTAGCCCAATGGATTAAGACTTATTTATTTAATCCATATATAATGGACTTATATAATTAATCCAATTATATTAGCCCATAATATTTATTTGGACCAATATATATTGAATCATAAAATATACTCCAAATTATTTTATGGATCTAATTTTAATAAAATTTATATGCCTACATGAACCCTAAATAAGACTTAAAGCAAGGAGAAAAGCTAAAAAAATTCAAAATTAGACAAATGTATTTCCTGTTCAATGAGATATGCTACGTAAGCTGTTAAAAGCCCTGCTTTATAATTATATATATAGATTATTGTGTATTTGTCTCATTTATGTGAGGGCATTCCGGATATGATATATGGTCCAAAATAAGTCTGATCCTTAATTGAGAAGTTTAAAGTTAAATTATTTTTAAATATAAAATATATATTATTTTGAGATAAATTAAGAAGAGAAAAATATCATATAAATTGGGGAAAAAATATACTTAATTGCTGATTGTACAGTTTTTAACCACGATACATACATAAACAAATACATGCCTTAAAAACAAAGGACAATCTATTCCCTCTTTTTTTATTTTTTTTTTTAATATTCCTCATGTTTCCCGTCCAATAGTGGGAAGGCAAAAAAATCAATGATATTTTCGTGAAATCATAAGCAGACAAGAACATAACTCCCGAGGTTTGGAGAACATCACCATGTGATCTGCATCATGAATAAACTCAACATCATCCGGTGGATTATTCTTGATCAACCACCTTTGTAGTTGTTCTTCCTTAAGCACGTTATCCTTGTCGCATACAACGTAAACACGACGAACCGAACCATATTTCTCATTTGTGAATGTGGAGTCCTTCAGTAAGCTTGACTCGTCAAACAATGGTACTGGTCTCACCAAATAAGTTGCAAGAGTAAGATCCTGTTTCAATTGCATCATCAATAGTGTCGTAGCCAAAACAAAAAAAGGTTAACTTCACTATAACAGTAAAGTCAGAGAATTATTTTACTTACTGTCACAGTAAAATTACAAAATTATTTTATGTCACATTAAAGTAGATGAACATGGTGTGATGTGTTCAGAAAATAAATACAATGATCAAAATATCAATTTTCTGGCTCAAAAACAATGTCAACAAGTCAACTATTTGGCAATACAACTGCAGACACAAAAAAGCCCACCAAGAAAAAACAGTTACTCAAAATCAGAATTTGACATTTCGGTCATTTGTATTTTCTGAAAAGTTCACATATAGTGCACTTATTTAATGTGATAAAAAAAGTCACGACTAAAATTTAGTCTAATACGACAAAAAATAGTTTTCATTATTGTTATAGTGGGTATTGGGCAACATTTGATGATCATATGTAAAATTGAAACTAAAATTGTGAAAATTAGGAAAAATCAGTCCATAATTGATACATGCTCACCTCAGCAGGGGACAGTTGATAAAAGTTGGTTGCTAAAACTTTAGGGCCAAGGAGGAGTGAGGTTGGACCTTTCTCCTGTCCGTTGCTGTATACAAATTCAGTATCCATATGTGATTCCACTTGTTGATTATACTGGCAATTTGAAAAACACAAATAATGCTTAATTATAACTTAGTATCAGCAAGATAATAGTAGTACATACTACCCACAAGTAATGCAGAAATACAAGGACTCGGTTCGGACCAATTGAACAAGAATATAACTCATACATCGTGATAGTGTAAAAGATTATTACACTATTACGTATAATTAGAAGTGTCAAATGGGTGGGTTGCTAATTTTGGGCGGGTTAAAATGGACTAAGTTAATAAATGAGCGGTCAATTGACTCGCCCAATAGTAACTTGGGCTGAGAAATGTTGGGTCAAGTTGGGCTAAAATTTGGGTCATAGCCCAACCCGCTAACTCTTACCAAACTTTAATTATGTGTATTGTTTTCTTATGAATTGTTTAATTATCAAGTAAGACTTTTTTTTCTATTGTTATGGTCATATATAACATATCAAATAAAAAAAAGGGGGAAGTGCACGGTTAGCCACTAATAACACATGTATTTACTTTTAAGCCACTGTTTAAAATGTCTTTAGTTTTTAGCCACTGCTTTAATAAATTTTACCTGCCCGGACGAAAACACCCTTCTGCTCATAAAAGTTCAGGACCAAGTGTCCTTCACTTTTGAACTTTCAACTCTAAGTTCAGGACTTCAGGACTACATGTCCTTAACTTTTGAACTTGCAACTCTAAGTTCAGGACTTCAGGACTACATGTCCTTAACTTTTGAGCTTGGAACTCGAAGTTCAGGACCACCTGTCCTTAAGTTATGTGCTTCTAACTCTAAGTTAAGGACTACTTGTCCTTAACTTTTGAACTTGTAAGTCTAAGTTCAGGACCTATTGTCCTTAACTTTTGAGTTTGTTAGTCTAAGTTCATGACCAAGTGTCCTTAATTTTTGAACTTGTAATTCTAAGTTCAGGACCAAGCGTCCTTAACTTTTGAACTTGGAACTCGAAGTTCAGGACCAAGTGTCCTTAACTTTTGAACTTGTAACTGTAAGTTCAGGATCCATAACGTTTCTAGTTTATTTCTTTCTTTAAATATTTCTTTTGTATCCACGCTTTAATACTGCCAAACATTCATTGGCAAAACACAACTACAATTGTCGCTACAGTTTCAACTTACAGGATCAAGTAATAAAAAGTTTCACCATTTGAACAGTGAAAGGAACACAGAAAACCGTAACTACCCTTGGCAGTAGTGAATGGAATATATGCACCGTCAACCACCGATAGTAAAAGGATTAAAATTTCTCCTTGTGTCTAATTAAAGGTTAAATTGGAAAAGTCAAAATATCACAGGGGTCAAAATCAGAATAAGACAATAACACAGGGATAAAAAATGCTATTTTCCCATTTCTAAAGCATTGCGATAGCAACTGTCTAGGCATGAAGGTTCGAACCTTATGTCAGACGGCGGCACCGTTCTACTCCCTAACATGAAAGAGATAGAAGAAAGGGTAACACAATCTTTTCATATTAATTTTAATAGACTAGTGGTTATTATTGCTAAGCATTGAAAGTGCTGGATAAAAAGTAAATACCGCTTTAAAAAGTGGCTACCCCACACAACTTTTACTAAAAAAAAAGTTATTTTAAATATATTTTAGATAAGTTACTTGTAAGGCCCCGGAAAATTTTGCTAAGTAATTTAGGATTCCGGGGTTCCAGGTAGGCTAATTATAATATTTTATGTGCTATAAATATGATGTAAATGAATTGGATATAGTAAATAAGTGTATAAGTCTTATAATAAGTAATGTGGGGTCCAAGGAGAAGCCTAAGGCCTCATTTGTTTTTTTTAAGATTAAGACGTCTGAATCTGAATACACATCTAAATATCAAGATGTGCATTAAGATTAAGACATCTGAATCTGAATATATTAAGATGTGTATTAAGATCTGAATAGGAATAATTAAGACTGTTTGATTTTTAACATCTGAATGTACAAAAAATATATCTTTATTTGAAAATTAATAAACATAAAATTCAATGAAATACTAACTAATCTAATATTCTATCAATAAAATATATAGTTTTTTAAAATATGATAGTTGTTGGTGATGATGGCTAACAGGTGAATGTCGACTAGAGGCGGTGGTTGGTGGTAGTTTTGGTTGATGATGGTGGTTCTTGCTAGTAGCTAGTAGTGATTGCTACTGGTGGCGATTATGATTGAGGATGGTGGTGGTGGGTGGTGATAGTTAATAATAGCGGGTGGTGGTAATAGTTGTAATTGAGGAAGGTGGTAGGTTATAAGATGGACAACACCAGCTGTGGTTGTTGATGGTGATGGGGTGGTCAATTGTGGCAGTTGAGGTGGATGAGTGTTGATTGTGGGTGAGAATGATGGTGGTCTGAGTGGTGGGGATAGTGGGTGGTGATGGTTGGTAGTGGTGGCGGCTATGATTGAGGATGATGGTGGCGTGGTGGTGGTGGTGGTTGAGTATGGTGGTGGTAGTGGTGGTGGTGGTGGTGGTGTTGAGTATGTGGTGGTGGTGGCATGGTGGTAGTTGATAATGGTAGGCGGTGACGGCAGTTAATAATGAATATGTGATATCATCTTAATGAAATTAAGTCTCTGTTATAGATCTTAATCATACATACCTATTCAAACCTATTAAGTGGTTGTGAAGTAAAAAAAACAAACAGACTTAATGATTAAGATCTGGATAATTAAGATTTAGACTTTAAAAAAAAACGCGCTTAATGTCTGAGATCTGAATGATTAAGATTCAGACCTCCATTAAGTGCAAACAAATGAGGCCTAAGTCTAAGTCAAATTGGAAATTTCATAATAGGCTAAAATTCCAAATGAGTTTGCACTAGTCCACACTTTGAACGAGCATATCTAAATATATATAAGGTTTTATGTGACTAAAAACCTGTCAGATTAAAGGTCTTCGAGTCTAGTTTCTAATGCTTCAAACCATTCGTCATTTGGACATTTCTACACAAAGTTATAATCAAATTACCAAAGGCTAGATTTGCGACCAGTTTTGCAATTGCAAAACGACTATGCGGACCGCATATGCATCGCATAATGAAGCAGAGTCGGGCAAAACATTATGCTGTCGCATGTTGATTATGCTGTAGCATAATCGATTATGCTGTCGATTATGCTATCGCATAATGATTATGCTGCAAGAATGCTGCCCACATTTCGATTATGCTATAGCATAATTGCACCACATAATTGACTTCGGGGGCCATTTTTGAAAATTTTCATATACGAACCCACTTTGATAAATATGCTTTGGGGCTTCATTTGGGACTATTTTACACTAAATCTAGAGAGAGGTGAGAGCATTTTAGAGAGAGAAAGAGGGAACCTAGCCTCCTAATCATCAATTTTGCACAAACCCTCAAAAATCAAGCATGCTAATCTCTAACTAACTATCTTTCGGGTAAGTCCTACTTCTAATATTTCATATATGAGATTATGAGTTCAAAAATATATTGTGGGGTTAGAAATAGGCCATGCATGTGACACTAAGCTATAGTATGTGGGATCAATGAACTATTTTGGGTAGTTCTTGATGAAATTAGACGAGGGAAGAAGGAATATTTATAGTAGAACCTTGTAGTCTATTTCACATGATTAGGTGCTTGATGAAATTCCTAAGAGAGTTACACCATGGGAAATCTTTCTAAATTATTAATTGATTTTTGCTTTCTCCTTATAGATTATTACTGCTAGAGATGTTGGTGCATTGTAGTAACTTAGGGAAAGCTCAACCAGGTATGTTGGCTAAACTTTATCTCTCGAAATAAAATTACGTAATGTTTTCTGTAAGTTTAAGTATAATCGGCTCAAAATTTCTAATTCCCACCCTCCGGGTCATCCCGGATGAACTCGTAAAGCTTGATAATTCTGAATGAGCCTTATATCAAAATATAGAGGTTTAATGTATGGATTCATTATTGAAATGATATGACTCTGAGTCGTAATTTAAATGAAGACTAGCTTACCCATTTGGGTGAGGAAAGCCCGATGAATTTTTTACTCCTAGATGCCCATATGTGTACTAAATGCCTTGATTGAGTGTGTTTAGCCGATGATAGACTATAAAGATACTTGGAAATGAATTAAAAGAACTTGGGGATATGGAGTGTGGGTAATATATATATATATATATATATATATATACGTATGATTGTGCCTAAGGAGAATATACATATATGAAATGTAGAG